CCCGCCCCTCTAAGAATTTCACGGCATGTAGTCATTTTTATTTAAATAAGGCCAGATCAAGTCGAGAGCTATTTTTTTGCGATCCTCCATATCTATCTCTCACCAAACTTGGGGAAAAAGACTGCGCAGAGCGAGGCTGAGCACTGTGTGTGGTCCTCACTAAGATAGGAAGACGTGTGTGAGATTAGACCCGCAGCTCTGCTTCTAATCACGTAGCACCGATGCGACAGCTTTGCAAGCTACTTTTTCATTCTTTAAAAGAAAATGCGACAGGTGAAGCTACAGCATGGTTACCTTATCAATAATTACTGCCTTTTTTTCTTTCTCTGTGGGTGGGGGGGGTCAGCTTCACTCAGCTGCAGGTGAACACCTCCCGCGTTTCCTGGAATATTTTCCACCGAGGATTACGTTGTATTTTATATTTATTAAATTTCTAAAAGCACTTCGCAGCATTTCCCCCTGTGTGTTCACGTCAAGAGCGCAACAAAACCGCGACCGATCAGCCGACTGTTTTTGAAGCGAGGGGCAGCGACTTTACAGCAGCTGAACCTGTCAGTCTGCAGCTCGGCTCCGACCAGCCCGGGACTGAAGAGTTCACACGTCAACCCCTTCAGACGTTTAACGTGTTTAATGAGCATCAAAAATCTGTAATTTGCGCAAAAAAAACAAACCAGTATTAATCAAGCGGATGGAGAAGAGGTGCGCTGACCGCAGCTGTGTGGGGTGGGGAGGAGGAGGGGGGTCTTTTAAAGACATGTCTACATTTGACTTTTATTTTTTCTAAAATCACAGAGTTCTCTGAGTCAGCTTCAGATGTTTGTAGTTAATCATAATADCTTCTAAATTTAACCAGGTGTTTCAATGCCTTTAAATTACACAATAATTTATTGGAGAAACTTGTCAGTTTGGTTAAAAAAACAGTAATTTTTTTTCTGTGCAGAGAACTTCCTCTGCTATAATTTATTTAAAATAAATGTATCAAAGCTCCTCAGTTGAAAACACTAAAATTATAGAAAAGATGTTTAAAAACTTTTCCTCAAAGTCTTCAGTCCTAAGAACACTAAACTGTAACTTTAATAAGGTCATGTACACTGTTTACTCCTATTTAAATAAAAATGTTTGACCTGTAAACAGAAAGCTTATGGATGGATGTAGATTTTTGATCTTTATTTCAAAGAAGAGGATGAGGAGGAGAACGAGGAAGTTCTCCTCAAGCAGCTCCTAAAACTGTCAACCTGCTGACTGAGAACATTTGTATACAGAACAATAGCCTACTTATTAAATTATATTTTTATTGAGATCTTTTTTGGACAACCAAAATGTTTTGAGGACAACCAGATTTTGTCAAACCCCAACATGAGAGGTCACCACCACGGATAAAAAAAATCCTCGGAGAAATTTCTGCTGAGTTAAAGTTCTTCTAGAGTTCTAATAATTATTAGGAAGGACATGATTTGAGGTTTTTACTGATAATATTTTATTCAAAACATGTTACAGAAGTCATAAGAAGCAGGTTTATTTTGAACAAACATTACAAACGTGTTCATTCCTACAAAAATGTCAAACATATTTTCAAACAACACTAAACTGATTCAGATTAACATAAAATAAACCCTGTTTTATAATTAAATGTCTGTTTCCTGCTATAAAGAAAAATCCTCCTGTCCTCCATGTTCCTAATCACACAGAAGAGCTCCAGAAGGTTTCAAACTGACAACTCTGGACTCAGATCATCTGCTGCACACAGTTCTGATCATTTATTATCAATAATAATTTTATTGATAATTATCTTGAGGAGTCCTTAACTAGGATGTAGTTGGGCAATTAAATATTCATGTATGTGTAAATTTATTACCATAATTGCAGGTGAGTCGCGTAAATTTATGTTTTTATAAAATAAGTACCCCCCGCCCCACGCCAAGACCAATTTCCTAGGGGAAACACTGTCGTTTGTTTAAATTCCTGCATTGATAAGTAACTATAGAGTTATATAAGACAACCAGAGTGTGCACATCCTGCCCATTGTTTACATTTGTGACATTGTGGAGAAGTTAAATGGCGTCCAAACAGGGCAACAGCTCACACTGCAGACATCTAAAATATGTATTGTGAAACTGATGGTGTTTAAACTAAACTCCATGAAATTCTGGAACCATTTTTTATCTACTTTGGTCTGAGCTTCATTTGGGCTAAATGTTTGCTTTTCAGTCTGGCAGGCATAAATTCTGTTTTTACAAATTGTGTTAGTACAAAGACCTGCATCAGTAGGCCCATCACAATAAATAATAAATCAATTAATCATGTGATAAATTAAATTGAGGAAGGTAAATTAAAATGAAGACAATAATTTTCATTTGCCTGCTGTTTTGTTTTCTTTATGTCTCCCTCTTTTCTACCTTTTAGCCTAGAGAGGAGTGAACTCAGGTGTCAGGTATTTGTCAGGTGCATGGTCGTCTGTAGCAAGAGAGCCTGTGAACAGGCTTTTAGCCAGAGGAGTGTCTTCAGTTTTCTGACGCCTTCATACAGCTGGTGACGCCTTCTTATTACCGACAGTTGGTTTTTCTTTATAATGTAAACTTCTGTAAACAGGGGGGTTATATTATTATATTATTTTCACTCAAGCATTCAACAGATTATATTCAACACCTCACAACTTGAGTTTATAAGCCCTGACAAACAATCGTGTGTTATTTCAGTCTAGTATCTATCCCCTCCACCTATAAGGGTGAGAGATAAATTGAACTCCTCTTTGTTTTTGTTTCAAATATTAAATGTATTGAGTGTGTAATTTGTACAGTAATTGTGATAAATTAGCTTTTTCTTTCTGAAAATGGTGTACAGCACCTTGTGAAATCCTTTTCTGTGAAAGGCGCTATATAAATAAACTTTTACTTACTTACTAGGGGTGCAACGATACAGAAAATTCACGATTCGGTTCAGTTTGATACTTTAGTCTCATGGTTCAATATTTTTTTTCGATACGAAAAAAAGACATTTCCATGCCCCTTTTAACTTGTATTTTATTTAAATTAATTATGAACATTTGTTTAATCTCAAAAGTACAGTTTTTAAATTAAATGTTGCTGAAACAGCAAGTTTCTCAGTGGATCTGCGCTCAGAAATGCAGCCTAGGTGGAGTAGTCGAACACAGATCCACTGATCCTTCAACACAGAGCATCTTCAGAAGATAAGCTGACAAAGTAAATTTTAAAAATCTATTGTTCGATACAAGCGTGTATTGAACCTAAAGCACTCTTCGATATGGTTCGATACGGGTACATGTATTGTTGCACTCCTATTACTTACTTACTTACTTACTTACTTAATATTAGTTTAAACTGGTCTCCAACAATATTATTGTGTATTGCAATAATTTCTGAGACAATTTATCATCCAGTAAAATTAGTTATCATGACAGGTCTATACATCAGTAAATTGATCCACTTTTACAAAATATCCCTTTATTGCCCAGTCACACCCTGGTTCAGACCTGCCTTTATCCTGTAAAGAAGCTGGAGTGTTTTTGTTTCCCTGAAGCCGTGACCGTCCTGTTCTCCTTTTCATGTTTCCACAGCAGGGTCAGTTCACCAACCCTGAGACCCCAGGTTATGTTGGGTTTGCCAACCTCCCCAACCAGGTTCATCGCAAGTCTGTGAAGAAAGGTTTTGAGTTCACCCTCATGGTTGTAGGTGAGTGTGTTGTTAGTTTCTTCGGGCCACTTTGTGTTCTGCATTGGATTTCTTGCTGTTACTGGAAGCTGGTTTTACAAGATGATGCCGCTTGTTTATGGGAATCAAACCAGACATACAGAGTAAACTCTGATATTTTTCATCAGTATTTGTATGAATTCGTTGTCCTTTAAAGTCTTTTCATAAAARACCTCAGTCCAGGATTTAGACACCTTCTATGAGGTGGTGAGGGGAGTCCAAGTCTGCTCACTCCGATGCACCTTTGTGCCGAGGAGCGAGGAATTCATATGTCTGCACATTCCGGGCCATCTTCCTGTTTCTTCTGGTTGTTCATAAACCACAGATGGAGCGCGTCACGTCCTGCACAGAACAGACTTTTCAGAAATGAAACGAACATAGTGGAGCAGAGCTCAGCAGAACAACACATTAAACCTGTTGTTTTGAAAACCAATGATTCGACTGGGTTGTGCTCCGTGTTCACTCTGATGAGTTCTGCTCCACTACTCTGTTCTTCTGTTCCACGATGCTCGCTTCATTTCTGAAAGCTCCCGTCTGTGCGGGTGGGGACCGGCTCCGTCTGTGACTTCTGAAGAACCAGAGGCAGCAGAAAGACAGACTTGTCTGTGAGGACGTTCTACAAACCTGTTCCATGAAGGAGTCGTCACYTCAGTGTAGATGCTTGGCTGCTGTTATCAGATTTTATCTACTGATGTGTGACTGTGTGAACCTCAGAGCTCGTTGTGGGGAGGAGGGAAACTCCACTGCTCATCCTTCTGCTTTAAAATAAACCAGAGAGGAATGTAGGCTGTGTGCCTCCAGGGACTGATTCACACAGAGGACAGTGAGGCTTCCTGGTTTTTCTGCTGCAAGAATACTCTCTTAGTGAGGTCACACACACGCACGCACGCACGCACGTGTGCGTGTGTGTGTCAAAAAAAAAAAACAGTCAAAAAAACCAGTCAAAAAAGTGCAAGAATTTGCATTTTGCACTATTGGATCTTAAGAAGGTTCTAAGTAGAGCTTCACAATGTTAAAAGAAGAAATCAGTGCAAGAGACAAGAACTTTTGAGCAGGGAATTTTCTGAAAACTGCATTTACACTCAAACATGATTTTTTTCAGCTGATCAAAAGTTTAAGACCATAGCTCAGAAAACCCCGAAACCCCCCAAAACAGAAATCAAAGTGTCAAAAAAAGGACTCAGCAATGAGTAGCTCCACCATTCTTGTTGATGACTTCAAAGAATTGTTTAGGCATGCTTGATGGCAGTGTTTCCTGGAGGCTAGTGGGAACGTTGCTCCAAGTGTTGAAGATGGCTTCACGAAGGGCATCCACTGTCTGGAACTGATGTCCATTTTCGTAAACTTCCCTTGCCAACCATCCCCAAATGTTCTCAGTTGGGTTTAGATCTGGGGAACATGCAGGATGGTCCAAAAGAGTGATGTTATTCTCTTGGAAGAACTCCTTTGTCAGGCGGGCATTGTGAACTGCAGCATTGTCCTGTTGAAAAACCCAATCATTACCACACAGACGAGGYCCCTCAGTCATGAGGGATGCCTGCTGCAACATCTCCACATAGCCAGCTGCTGTTTGACCCCCTGCACAACCTGAAGCTCCATTGTTCCATTGAAGGAAAACGCACCCCAAATCGTATGGTGCCCCACCACTGTGCCGTGTAGAAAACATCTCAGGTGGGATCTCCTTGTCATGCCAGTAACGTTGGAAGCCATCAGGACCATCAAGGTTAAATTTTTTGTCATCAGAGAAGACAACTTTCTTCCACCTTTCAATGTCCCATGTTTGGTGCACCCTTGCGAAGTCCAAACGGACAATTTTGTGGCGTTGAAGAAGACTTGGCCTTTGAAGACGTTTTTTGTTTCTGAAGCCCTTCTCTCGCAGATGCCGTCTGATGGTTATTGGGCTCCAGTCAGCACCAGTAATGGCCTTAATTTGGGTAGAGGATCGTCCCGTGTCTTGATGGACAGCCAATTGGATCCTGCGGCTCAGAGCTGGTGAAATTTTTTGGGTCTACCACTTGACTTTTTTGTTCCATAACCCTCAGGATCATTTAAAAAATGCAAAATGACTGTCTTACTGCATCCAACTTCAGCAGCGATGGCACGTTGTGAGAGGCCTTGCTTATGCAGCTCAACAATCCTACCACGTTCAAAGTCAGTGAGCTTTTTTACTTCTGACTATATAAACTTCTGTGTGGACAACACCATCCCCAGCAGAAAAGTGAGATGCTTCCCTAATAGCAAACCCTGGATCACCAGTGAGCTAAAGGAACTGTTAAAGAAGAAAAAAAGCCTTTAGGGATCGAGACAGGGAGTTGTTGAGGAGTATACAGAAGCAGCTTAAAGTCAAGATCAGAGACAGCAAGGAGGTTTATAGAAGGAAGCTGGAYAGTAAACTGAAAAGGAACAATATCAGAGATGTGTGGTCAGYGATGAAGAAGATCACAGGTTTCAAGCAAAAGGAGAATTGGATGGATGGAAATCTGGACAGAGCAAATGAGCTGAACACATTCTTCAACAGGTTCAGCTCAGGAACAAGCTCATCTTCCTCCTCTCCTGCCCCCAGCCAAACAGACATCTCACCCTCCTTTGACCCACAGCTTTCCTGTCAAACCTCAGATGTTTCAACCTCAGTCATGGACTCTTCTGCTTCCACAAGTTTGTCTTCAACTAAATCAGGAGATGCTGCTGCTCCCTTTCCCTCCCCCTCCCCCTCCCACTTTTCTGTATCTAGAAGTCAGGTGAAGAGGCAGCTAGAGAGACTGAACCAGAACAAGGCTGCAGGTCCAGATGGTGTCAGCCCCAGAGTCCTGAAGGCCTGTGCAGACCAGCTCTGTGGGATTCTGCAACACCTCTTCAACCTTAGCTTGACCCAGGAGAAGGTGCCACTGTTGTGGAAGACATCCTGTCTGGTTCCAGTACCAAAGAAAACTCACACATCAGCCCTCAATGACTATAGACCTGTTGCCCTGACATCKCACATCATGAAGGTCCTAGAGAGACTCCTGTTGACCCACCTGAGTAAGCAAACAAGCACACAACAGGACCCCCTGCAGTTTGCTTATRGTCGTGGAGTTGGAGTTGACGACGCCATCAAACACCTGCTTCAACAAACCCACTGTCATCTGGACAAAGAAGGCAGCACTGTGAGGATCATGTTCTTTGATTTCTCCAGTGCTTTTAACACAATTCAGCCTGAGTTACTTTGTCTGAAACTCCAGAAGACTCAGGTGGAGGCTTCAACAATCACCTGGATCAAAGACTACCTGACAAACAGACCACAGTTTGTGAGACTGAAGACTGTGTGTCTAACCAGGTGGTCAGCAGCACAGGAGCACCACAGGGAACTGTACTCTCACCATTCCTGTTCACACTGTACACTTCAGACTTCCAGCACAAGTCAYACTGCTGTCATCTACAGAAATACTCAGATGACTCTGCAGTTGTTGGGTGTATCAGAGATGGACAGGAAGCTGAGTACAGAGAGCTGGTGGACCGCTTTGTGGCATGGTGTGGGAACAATCATCTCATCTTGAATGTGAACAAAACAAAATAAATGATTGTAGATTTCAAGAGAAATAGTGCTAGAT